AAAAAAGAAAGGACATCTGCTGTTTTATTTGCAGGAAAGAGTAAGAACATTAAATGTCATTATTATAGATGTTTTTAACAACTCAGTCCCTTGGTCTCTGCTCCAGCTTATTTTCAGCTGCCTGTAAGCAGAAGTGTTCATTTGAGTTTGTAACACACACACAGACGCACACACACGGCACAACCACATATGTACACGCCACTGTTGTTGTAAGGTATTCCTTGCCTGTCTTGGTCTGTTCAGGCAGCTGTAACAAAATACCTTAGACTGGGTGATTTACAAACAACAGAAATGTATTGCTCACTGTTCTGAAGTCTGGGATGGCCAAGATCAAGGCGCTGGCAGATTCAGAGTCTGCTGAGGGCTTGCTCTCTGCTTCATAAATGACGCCCTCTAGCTGTGTCCTTACATGGCGGAAGAGGCAGACAAGCTCCCTTGGGCCTCTTTTTAAAAGACACTAATTCCATTCGTGAAGGCTGAGTCCTTGTGACCTAAGCATGTCCCATTTCACATCAATATCACCACTTTGGGGATTAAGTTTCAACATATGAATTTGGCAGGGGGACAAAAACATTCACGCCATAGCACTGCTCACTCCAGTTATCCTTGGCATGGAGAAATTAATTTTATGGTTTCTTACAGTGAAAATCTCCCTAGATACTCAGTTCAAAGCGCCTAGATGCCAGCCATGTCCCTTTGCTAATACTCGCTGCCACTCTCTAAAGACTTAGGCAGTTTCAACGTTCTAAATCTTGTTTGTCAAAAAGATTAGATTTTAAAATATGAAACAAACATAACTGAGGCTGAACTCTGGGATACAGGACGGGTGATCCGTCTTTGGACAAAAGTTCAGCGAGGCAAAGTGGGGCTCAAGGTAGCTAAGGTTCTATATCTGAGGCCCAGGAAATCAAGCTGAGAAGCAGGATCAGTTATTTGGGAGCGCTCCATGCATGGCAGGAAACACTGAAACAAGGAGACTACAATCTCTTCAGTCCTGCCTAAAGCAGAATAAATTTAGAATTGTTCTGAAGTTAGTCCCTCACCCTTCTAACTTTTACTATTAAAGGGCTGGTCTATTTCTCTTTGGTAAAGGCTCTGGCCAGGCCACGACATTTTTATAGGGCTGGAAAATTAATACATGGAAGGGATAGAAGATGCTCATGTTAATCAGGACACTGTCAAGTGGCAGAAGTCCCAAACAGATACCTCTGTTTCTGCCTCCTTCTCAGCATCTACCTCTCTGAGGTGGGAGGCTATTCAGACTTTGCAGAATCTACTCTTAGTTTCTTTAGCTTGCCTGCCTCCTCCTCCTTTTAGGTCATTGCTGCAGAGCTCATGATGATTAATTCCATCATTTGCCACTCTGAGGTTGAAATCAAGAAATAGAAGGGAGAACTTCCAAATACTATTTTATGTTCTCATATGGCCTAGGCACACTCCAGCTAATAATACTCTGTATTACTTTCAACCACATGGGCTATTTAGAGGGGCCTCTTGGAATGAAGTGATAGTGAAACAAGGCATATGGATAACGAGTCACTTCTGTTGCTGTCCTATTTCAGAACTCAGTTGTAAACATTAGCAGGGTATTTGCACAATAGTAGCAGTTGTGGATGGAGGTTGAGGAGAATTTGATAGTAGTAAAAGCATCACGAGATCTCTCCTCCCTGAAGTTCGGTTGATGCTGATTTGAAAAGTAACCAGCTGAGACACAGCCCATTCTAAGACCTAATTCAACGAATACACTGTTAGTCAACAAGGGTTCTGATTAGCTTGAATGGGCAGTGTTGTTTTCCCAAAAGAAAATAGAAAGAGAGCAAATGTGGTGTACATACACCATGGAATGCTAAGCAGCCATAAAAGAGAACGAGATCATGTCTTTTGCAGGGACATGGATGGAGCTAGAGGCCATTACCCTTAGCAACCAAATGCAGTTTTATTATCCTGAAATAACACTGCCCATTTGTTTTCTGGCTTTGACAAATGGGTGTCATAAGTACAGATTCAAACTAATATTTCCCAAAAAGTTTGCAGGCTACAGTCTAACTGATAAAAATGTTGGCCAGAGGCTGGACACAGTGGCTCACACCTATTAATCCCAGCATTTTGGGATGCCGAGGCGGGTGGATCACAAGGTCAGGAGATCGAGACCATCCTGGCTAACACAGTGAAACCCTATCTCTACTAAAAATACAAAAAAAAAAAAAAAAAGCCAGAAATGTGTCCTCTCTCTGACTATGTGGTCACATAACCCTCTGACCCAGCAGGAAAAATTCTCTGCTTTTAAATATTTATGTGGGCTGGGCGCAGTGGCCTGTAAACCCATCATGTTGGGAGGTCAAGGTGGAAAGATCCCTTGAGTCCAGGAGTTGAAGACCAGTCTAGGCAACATAGTGAGACTAGGTCTCTATTTAAAATGTGTTTTAAAAGTAGCTGGGCATGGTGACAGTGCACCTGTGGTCCCAGGTAGTTGGGAGGCTGAGGTGGGAGGATCACTCGAGCTCAGGAATTTGAGGTTACAGTGAGCTATGATCCCACCACTTCACTCTAGCTTGGGCGAAAGAGTGAGACCCTGTCTGGAAAAAAACAAAAGAAAAAAAAGAAAAAACAACAAAAGATTAAAGTGATTAGACTTGGCTTACCTAGAGAATATAGCATAATCTCCTTGTCTCAAGGTTCTTAACATTAATCATATCTGCAAAGTCTCTTTTGCCAAGTAAAGCAATATATTCACAAGTTAGGAAGTAGGAGAAAAGGATGTAGACATCTTTGGTAGCTGTTCTTCTACCTTTCACAGACAGACACGTTTTCCTTTAGTGCAGAATTAAGAGATAAAAGTGTACTATTGTTCATTCTATTTCTAATTTTAATACTTCTAGAGAACCGATATAAAATGGTTCTTTAGGCTAAGGTCTAGCATTAATAAAATTGATTTCCTCAAGGTTTTCAACAAAATAAACCAAATGAACCTTTCTAAATGTATCTCCCATTACTAACCTACAGTTACCCCACCCTCTACAAATCAAACTAATTACTGTTTCCTGAGCATTCCTCTCTGTCTTCTGTCCTACAATTTAGTTCCCCTGGGATGTCCTTGCCATATCTATAACCTCTTCCATCTGTCCAAGTCCACCCTATCTTTGTAACACATAGAAAGGTTAGTATACAGGGGGCGGGCACGGTGGCCCGTGCCTGTAATCCCAGCATTTTGGGAGGCCGAGGTGTGCGGATCATGAGGTCAGGAGATTGAGACCATCCTGAGCAACACGGTGAAACCCCATCTCTACTAAAAATACAAAAAATCAGTGGGACGTGGTGGTGTGCACCTACCCCAGCTACTCAGGAGGCTGAGGCAGGAGAATCACTTGAACCCAGGAGGCGGAGGTTGCAGTGAGCTGAGATGGCACCACTGCACTCCAGCCTGGGTGACAAGAGTGATACTCTGTCTCAAAAAATAATAATAAAATAAAAATAAAAATAATAATTAAAAAAATAACAGAAAAAGGTTACTGTACAGGATATGGAAAGAACTCCTAAAATCAGTGAGGAAAAAAGAGACAATTCAACAAAATGGTTTAAAATAAGGAGCTGAGCAAGATGGCAGAGGGGGACTCCATAGGAGCCCTTCCTCCACAGAAGCCAGATTGACAAACACCAAAAAGTCTGAAAAGATCAAGGGTTGGTGTTTTGTGGCACAGTCAGAACACTAATATGCTGATGGTAGTGGTGTAAATTGGTAGAACCACTGTGGAAAGCAATGTGGCATTATCTAGTAAAGATGAAAACAGGCCTATCCTATTAAATGTATACCTTGGGGAAACTTGAACTTCTCCTTAGGAGACAGGTACCAGGATGCTCAGAGAAGTGCAGTTTGCAATAGCAAACCCCTGAAAACAGCCTAAGTGCTCATCAACAGGAAAATGGGCAAATAAATTATGGCATATTCATAAATTGGAATACTATAGGCCTGTGAAAATAAATGAATGAGAGTAACGCTCATCTACAGGAATGAAGGTTTGACGCAACCATTGAATGAGAACAATTTTGCATAAGTATATCCATAACAATTTCATTTATGTAACAGTCAAAAACAGGTAAAATGAAACAAAATGTTGTTTGGGCAAGAAACATGTATAAGGTAAAATTATATAAACAAAAGCAAGATAATTAAAAACACAAAATTCTGGATTGTCATTTATGTCTGAGGGTAGATGAGCAGGAGTGGGGTGAGGGAGAGCTTCACATACGGAGAAGCTCAAAGTTGGGGGTGTTGTTCCAATTTGTAAAACAGACAGCAGATCCACAAGCACCCACTGAATGTTCAGTATGTCATTATTTTTTAACAGTATCTACCTCATATTTAATAAATATTTAATATTCAATTCTTTTCAAATGAAACAATTTTCTAAAGCTTTACCTTTCTGTCCAAATGGAGCTGCGGTACCTTCTTTTCCCTGAAGACAGGGTGATAAGGAGGGAAGCCACAATACGTGGAGTCTAACAGACTTAGATTTAATTTTAGATAAGTTCCTTCTTTCTTTCCTCATCTGAAAATCCTTCAAAGGGTTTTTGTGAGAATTAAATGAGAAAATACATACCAGGTACATTTTAGTTTCTCAATAAACGTTAGTTCCACTTTCACCAAAGGCCCCATGTCTCCCTGCTTCATGTCTCGTAACATGTTCTACTATCGTGTTCTACATTAAGATAGAATTATTCCCAACCTGGCTAACTCGGTGAAACCCCGTCTCTACCAAAAATACAAAAAATTAGCCGGGCGAGGTGGCGGCGCCTGTAGTCCCAGCTACTCGGGAGGCTGAGGCAGGAGAATGGCGGGAACCCGGGAGATGGAGCTTGCAGTGAGCCGAGATCCCGCCACCGCACTCCAGCCTGGGTGACAGAGTGAGACTCTGTTTAAAAAAAAAAAAAAAAGATAGAATTATTCAGCTGGGTGCGGTGGCTCATGCCTGTAATCTCAACACTTTGGGAGGCTGAGACGGGTAGATCACCTGAGGTCAGGAGTTTGAGACCAGCCTGGCCAACATGGTGAAATCTGTTTCTACTACAAACACAAAAATCAGCTGGGCATGGTGGCAGCCGCCTGTAATCCTAGCTACTTGGGAGGCTGAGGCAGGGGAATCCCTTGAACTCAGGAGGCAGAGGTTGCAGTGAGCCGAGGTTGCACCATTGCACTCCACCCCGACAAGAGCAAAACTCTTTCTCAAGGAAAAAAAAAAAGGAATTATTTGTATAATTACCTCTACTTCCCATCCCTACCACTAAATCATAAGCTCTTTATGAGCACAGATACATGCATAGCCTGTAACAGATACTCGATTTTGTTGAATAGGCCTAAAATAGTACAACCTAGAAATAAAGATTGGAATTCACTTTTAACATGCTCTTTCAATTTAGAGATAAGAAATCATTTTTTAAGTAACTTAACTGAAACATTAAGTAAATTTGGAGAAATCCTTATAATGGATTTTAGAGCCCTTGAAATGAAATAATTGAATGCCCCACATATTATAAGCTTTACTCTTTTTTTTTTTTTTGAAACAGAGTCTCATTCTGTCACCCAGGCTGGAGTGCAGTGGTGTGATCTCAGCTCATTGCAACCTCTGCCTCTCATGTTCAGATTCTGCTGCCTCAGGCTCCAAGGAGCTGAGACTACAGGCGCACGCCACCACGCCCAGCTAATTTTTGTATTTTCAGTAGAGACAGGGTTTCACCATGTTGGTCAGGATGGTCTCGATCTTTTGACCTCATGATCTGCCCACCTTGGCCTCTGAAAGCGCTGGGATTACAGGCATGAGCCACTGCACCCGGTTGCTTTATTCTCTTTTTACCTCAGTTCGTTGGTAAAACAACAAAAGTTGAATGCTAAAGTTAAATTAAAATGCCTTTCCCTTAGGACTCTGATTTTCACCAGCAGTCTTATTATGCCCATTCCTTTTCATTCTCAATTATGTAATATTTATCTATTCACTTCTTCTGTTAATTTCTTTTTTGATGTATTGTGACCATGAATGATGATACAGTGGTACTAAACCTTACAGCTGAATAGCACCTTACGTTACATATGATTTCATTTGATTCTCATAACGAGGTAACACGGAACGCCCTTGTCTAAGATCACACATCTAATAAGTGACAGAGTCAGGCTTTGAACCCAGGTATTTTACCAGTGATAGGATGTGCCCCTTTCACTAAACATTCATCCCTCTGTTTTGCAGATTCGAAGATATCCCTTGGAAGGTTTTGTGACTGAAAACAGAGAGGCAGGGATTGTTTTCGGCTCTCTGCCTATATACAAGGTGAGTTGGAGTTTCCAGGAGTAGAGGGGTCACAGAACAGTACGGAATCTGCCATCTCATTCCTGGGCTACCAAGCAAGGTTGGAGAAAATCATACAGTCAAGTGGACCGTTGCTTCCAAAAACGTATTATGTGCAGTCCCAGAAAAGTCTTGGGCTGTGTGTGTCAATGACCGGGTCCCTTATCTCTGCCATACCACATGGTGATTATTTTGAACGTTACTCTGGTGGCTCATCAACTACAGGGTAAAATCCAAATGCCTTTGCTTGGCTTATACAACCTCCAGGATCCACCCTCTTTTTTCACCACTTTCTCCTCATACTCTGCCTATATTCCAACCATATGAAATTACTTTCCATGCCTTAAGCATCACTGGTCTCTCCAACACCTCTGAAACTGTGCCTGTGCTGCCCCCCTGCCCAGGATTCATTCATTTCTTGTTTCCCTCCAAATCCCTACTCATCCTTTAAGTCTCTATCCCAGGTAACCTTGGTTAGACAACTAGTTAATTAACCCAAGAAATAATAAGCCAGAGAGCAAATATTTCAAATTAACTTAAATCTTAAATGTTATCTTTCCTAAGAACATGTTGTGATAGGTATCACACGTAAGCTAACAGATGATGCTAAAGGCTGAACTATCAAGATTTAATAGTGAATTTCTAAAGGGTAGACTGAATGCAGTGTCTCACATCTGTAACCCCGGAATGTTGGGAGGCAGAGGCAAGGAGATTGCTTGAGCCCAGAAATTCGAGACCAGCCTGGGCAACGTAATGGGACCCTGTCTCTATTTTAAAAATAAAAAATAAAATAAAGGTTTAATATTGAGCAACTGGGAAGAAGGGGGGTGTGTATTTTGAAGCAGCTGAGCCTTCTCATTCCTCATCCCAATTCCTGAAATCATATTACAGAAGTCATCACTTTGAGTGTGTCTCACTGACTAATTTATGGCTTCCAGATATCAAGCCCCACTAGTCTGAGATTTCTTCCACTGATTGGTGTAGAAGCCCAAAAGGACTCTTCAGATGGCATTACAGGAAAGAAGAAGGGAGGTCATGTTCAACATGAAAAAGTAAGTTAGTACTAATTCCACAGTTAACTCCAATTTCAGTGTATCCTATTTCTGTTTGTTTTATATATATATATATATATGTATGTCTCTGCTTTCAGAAACATTCTGAACCTAAAATCATTTCAGTTCATACTTTTTTTTTTTTTTTTGAGGCGGAGTTTCACTCTTGTTGCCCAGGCTAGAGTGCAGTGGCACGAACTCAGTTCACCGCAACCTCCACCTCCCAGGTTCAAGCGATTCTTCTGCCTCAGCCTCCCAAGTAGCTGGGATTACAGGAATATGCCACTGTGTCTGGCTAATTTTGTATTTTTTTTAGTAGAGACGGGGTTTTTCCATGTTGGTCAGGCTGGTCTCGAACTCCTGACCTCAGGTGATCCACCCACCTCAGCCTCCCAAAGTGTTGTGATTACAGGCATGAGGCACCGATCCCAGCCTCAGTTCATACTTTTTATGAATATTCCAGATGTGTGTGTTTTAGCTCAGTGAGATGAAAATCATGAATTTGCTGGACACAGAGAGAGAGAAAAATCAAATAAGATCAATAAGCCTCAGCTAATGAAGCTTATCTAGAGCTTTACGACTGAAATTCACCGAGCTGTTCTAGAAACCAGGAGATTTGACACGACATAGAGGAGGGCTGTGTAAGCATCCTTGCATCTTAATTTGGTTGCACCTACAGAGTAAAGCCATGACATCGATCAGTTTCTCTTGGAGCTGCAAGAATTTCTCTGAAGTATTAATAAAAATAACGAACATGCAGTGCTTTATAGTTTGCAGTGATTTCATAAATGATCCATTTGATTTTCACAGTATGTACAAAGAAAATATTATACTCTCTTAGAGCTGGGAAAAAAATGGAGTCTAAAGCAAGGTCAAGTGCCTTACCAAAGATCACATACAAATGAAGTGATAAGCTGAGATCCACTCTTGACTCCAAATTCCATGCTCATTCAATTAAACCATGATAGCCTACACTACTATCACTATATAACCTATCACTCTTCTACTAGTTCTAGAAGCTTTCAGGGGCCTAACTTAACCCGTGGCCATTTATCCAGTCTTTAAAATAGATCAAACATTAGGGGGAAGATACAGCATATTGTAATTTTTTATAAGTCTCCTTTCTATGAAGTCAGATTAAAATTAAAAAGGAGTTGGCCTTTATTGATTGTGCCTAATTCAGTAATAGATAAATACTGATAACAACAACAATGATATTCAAAGCTGCTTTGTTTAATATTGAAAATTTGCCATAATATTGTTAGCTTGTGCACTTAAGGAGAATATGAATAATTTCTGTTAATCATCAACTCTGACAATTATTTGAGTAAGAATTTTTGGTATTAGAAGAGTTTTCTGTTAAAAAAAAATTTACTTTTAATTGTTTTATGTAACTGACGAAACACAGTTGTATAAATAATACAAAACCTTGTCTAGAGACGTGGAAATGAAAAAACAATCCAAAACTAAAAGGTAATAAAGAAAGTATTTGCATTTTTTTTCTGCACGACTCTGTGAATATATGCATTATGTTTTATAATTCATGTATTTTACGCCTATTTGCACTCTTACTTAAATTTTATCTCATCTGATGTTATATAATTTACATTCTTTAAGTAAATACTAAGTGACAGAAAGAAGATGGCTAAATATGTCTTAGGTACCAGGGGAAAACAATACGGAATTAAAAATTATTCACAGTTAATCTACATGAAGACTACTCTACACTCCAGAGTTTGACTCTACTATAATTAATTTTATTAGAGATCATAAAGAATGATAAATTATCCAAACATAAAGACATTTTTAAGATGTCTAATAACCTGATGTTCTGACAGATCCTTTATTTTCTCTTAATCACTCTGATAGACTGTTGATCACACCGGAAAGACAAAAGGAATAGATGTCTTCATTTGGTTATAGAAAATAGATGCCTTAATTTGCTTAAATTGAAAAATCCTCACATAAAACTCTCTTCAGGTTTACTAAAGGAAATAGTCAAGTCCGGGCGTCAAAATTGGTTTCCAATATAAAATTAAGACCCTGTTAAAAATTGTGCACTTAGTAAGATGACAAAATCTGGAAACTGGGATGGATTGAAGCACCACTATGCTACCTGTCTATAATTTTAGAACTCCAAAGAGCCTAAATGGAAAAATAAGGGATGAAATAAAACCAATAGTTAGACACCAAATGCCTATTTTCATAAAAACACTTCCAAAATTGTGGGCACAAAACGACCCCAGAAATTTAGGCGGAGAAATTTCACTTTAATGAAACAAATATTTATGGAACACCTTAAAATATTCATCATGTCCCCTGCACTGTTCCGGGCACCAGGAATCCATTTATAGATTAAGGAACTTAAAGTACAGTTGGAAGAAAGTCCTTTGAGTAAAAGGTTCAATAACAGATATCTTAGTCTCTTTTGACTTATTATTTTTAAATATAGAAATGCTAATACTGAATGTGAACTTCTTTAAATCATGTATACATCTCTTTAGAATTAAACAACACATTATAAAATATTAATCATGGTACAACAAAAGATAAATCAGAACATGAGTTTATATTTCCTTTTCCGTCTAAATGTAGGAAGAGAAGGGAAGAAAGTGAACTTTGGAAAGCGTAACCCATTTTCAAAATTGTGGAAACATGTCCAATCATGCAAAAATGGCTAAGTGAAAGATGGTATATGTGATAACATACTCCATAGTTTTTCCAAAGTATTTTTTTTTTTTTTTTTTTTGAGACGGAGCCTCGCTCTGTCGCCCAGGCTGGAGTGCAGTGGCCGGATCTCAGCTCACTGCAAGCTCCGCCTCCCGGGTTCACGCCATTCTCCTGCCTCAGCCTCCCAAGTAGCTGGGATTACAGGCGCCCGCCACCTCGCCCGGCTAGTTTTTTTGTATTTTTGTAGTAGAGACGGGGTTTCACCGTGTTAGCCAGGATTTCCAAAGTATTTAATGACAAGCCAGGCACAATGGCTCATGCCTGTAATCCCAGCACTTTGGGAGGCTGAGGCAGTTGGATTGATTGAATCCAGGAGTTTGAGATCACTCTCGGAAACATAGTGAGACCTTGTCTCTCCAAAAAAAGAAATACAAAAATTAGCCAGGTGTGGTGGTGTGCACCTGTAGTCCCAGCTACTTGGGAGGCTGAGGTGAGAGGATCACTTGAGCCTGGAAAGTGACCGTTGCAGTGAGCCAAGATCGTGCCAAAGCATTTCAGCCTGGGTGACAGAACAACACTCTGTCTCAAAAAAAAAAAAAAAAAGTATTTAATAACAGATAAATTCTCACAATTTTATTTTAGGTGAAAAGAATATATAAACTGTAACTCAGTAATATTTCTAACGATAACAGCAAACCTTTGTTTTCAAATCAATGTTGCCCAGTATGGTACTGTGCACTTGCTATGCCCTCTTTCATTTCATCTTTACAATAACACTTTGAGATAGTTGCAATGATCATCCTCCTGTTACAATTAAGAAAACCGAAACACAGAGGATAAGTGATTCCTCTGAGATTCCAAAAGAAGCAAGTCATAGAGCTGGGATAAACTCAGTCACTTAACTTCAGAGCCTGGACACTTAAATGCAATGCAGTATAATTCAGAGATGGGTGAGCTGCTAGGTCTCTCCTGGTCAGAATAACCTTATGAGAATTAACAATTAATGAACATTAGAGAGCCCCACCCTTCCCATCTTTTTCAGTCTCCTCACTGATTTAATTTTTTTCACAACTCTGATCACTACATGACATTATAGCATATAAAAATTCATTTTTTCCAAAAGTATGTTTCATACAGCATCATTGTTCCCCTAAAAAGTCATTTTTATTGCCTTTATCCCACTAGAATGTAAGATCCACGAAGGCAGAAACTTTGCCTGACTTACTCTCTGCTGCAGTGCCAATGTCTAGAACATAAGAGACACTGCAGAAACATTTGCTGAAGTATATATATATACTTCATATATATATGAAGTGGATTAGGGGTGTTTTTTTTTAGACGCAGTCTCGCTCTGTCGCCCAGGCTGGAGTGCAGTGGCGCGATCTCGGCTCACTGCAAGCTCTGCCTCCCGGGTTCACGCCATTCTCCTGCCTCAGCCTCCCGAGTAGCTGGGACTACAGGCGTGAATTAGCTTTCAAAACAAGTAGAAAAAGAAAAAGAGAAAATAAAAGAAAGATCTGTGCAGCCTGAGAAGTTCCCTCTGCTGGGGTTTAGCAGGTTGATCAGGGAGCTAAGCCTCCTACCTTGTCTGTGGGAGAAAGAGGAGTAGTCATGTGACCTGTTAATGTTCAAGCTTAAAGGATCCTACTGTAAGTGTTTGTGTGCTGGTCCCATCAGCCCCTGTCATGTGGTCCTGGCAGTCCTGTTTGGCCTGCAGGAAGTGCCTGTTGTTTCATCTCAGAACGGCTGCCTCTAGGATGCTTGAGTTGCTGTTTATTAACCTGGGCCCTGTAAGTGGTTGAATCTTGACCTTAGGAGCTCACTCTTCTCCCTTTCCTTATAACTCTCTACGTCTCCTCTTCCCTTTTTCTTCTTTCTTTCTTCTTCCCCATCATAGACCATAAAATCAAATTAACATGTATTATGAATATTGGTTGAACATTACTGATATGAATTTTTAAACCAAATTAGTTTAAATTTTATACCTATTTCTTCCAAAAATAATCAATGCAAAACAAACTTTTATTAGCTGGATGTGGTGACACATGCCTGTGGTCCCAGTTACTTGGGAGGTAAAGATGGGAGGATTCCTTGAGCCCAGGGGTTGAGGCTGCAGTGAGCTGTGATGGTGCCACTGCACTTCAGCCTGGGTGACAGAGCAAGACCCTGTCTCAGAACAAAGTCGAACACAACAAAAACCAACCTTTTATTCCTCATTTGTGTGACTGATAATTACTTGATTTTATTTTCCTACAAGCCAATGGACTCTGATGTTATTAATCTACAATATTAATTATTAATTGTGCTTGCTTCGGCAGGACATACACAATATTAATTATTAATTAACCAAGTCTTGTTTTGTTGTGACCCAACCCCTTCCACACTGCAGCTGCGTCCCAGAATGGTTAACTGTCCAGTTAAGTAACTCTTCAGCTTCGGCTTGTCCACCGCATCCTTCAGGAGCCCCACCTCCTACTTTTAACACACTTTCATCCTGAAGTCCCATAGGATTGTTAAGTAAATAACTATTCATTCTTTTCTAGGAGGATTAAAATCTCTATGTAAATTAGCAATACGACTTGACTCTGGAAAACTGTGTTTGTCGGTATAATGCCAGTTACTAACTGACATGCTCTTTATTTCACAGGTATCACGAAGAAGAAGTTTGAAAAAAAATTTAGTCCCACAAATAAATCTGGCTTCTTCCTTCTTCCCAGCTATACCCAAGTAAGAAGAAAAAATCAGAAATGGCTGCTGCACATAAAATGGCAACGTGTGGATGATACCTTCTCTTTATTTCAGGATGAGAGGGAGAAACTAGCAGACACTATCAGTCATTTCTGGTGTCAGGCCATCCTACTGATGGGGAAGTTTCTTTAGGGAGTTCTGGTGACCTGAATACCAAGCAAGGAGCAAGCAGCCAGAAGTTTAGGCAGTGTTTCTCATTTACTATCAGCAGACTGACACATAAGAAAACAAATGAAATCAACAGCATTGGTAGGTCTAAAATCATACGCTTATCAATGTTCAGCTTTCCACTTCCTCCCACCGGTCACCTTACACCAGAGCCAGAATGACTGTCAGGACATGTGCAGTAAGAGGCACTTTCAGGTCATGCTATGTGTTGTACCAAGAGAATTATTATTAAAAAGAAAAATGCGTCAGTCAGATCTCTAGATGTTTGTCTTCTTCATTTAGAGAAATATTATCTGGAAGAAAATGTCCTAAGTTTATTCACACGTAGTCCAGACATGACTCCAGATAAATATAAAAGGCGGCAAAGAAAGGAAGAAAACTGGGTCAAGAAATAGAAAAAGCATAGTAACATGGTAGATTTAACCTTAAATATATCAATAATTATGAAACCTTTAATAGGTTAAGTATGCAAATTTAAAAGGTTGCCAGAATGGATTAAAACACAAAATCCCAACTAAATGTTGTTTATAATAAACACATCTAACATACAAGGACACCAAAATCTTAAAAGAATGAAAAAAGATAGATCATGCAAAATCTAACCTAAGAAAATCAATATAGTCATATTAATATTAAAATATACTTTAAGAAAATAAACAAGAGTCTTTATAATAGTTTTATTAATAATAACTCAAAATTGGAAAAAGCCTAGCTTCCACAACAGAAGAATGACTAAGCAAACTATGGTAGGGTAGGACAACGGAATCCTCAGCAATTAAAAGGAATAAAATGCTAATGCATGCATTAACATAGACCAATCTCAAGAATATGTCAAGTCAAAAGAATTTTTCAGAAAGAATACATGTTGTATGATTCCATGTTTATAAAATTCTACAACAGGGAAGACTAATATTCAGTTTAAAAAATTAAAACAATGGTGGCCTCTGGGAGAGAGGGCAAATGTCACAGACAGATTTAGAGATTTAGAAGGGGTACGAAAGAACTTTCTGGGTTGAATGGTAATGTTCTTCATTTTAATAATGTTTGGGTTATACAGCTAGGTGTGCATTTCAAAATTTATTGAATGTTATTTCTGCATTTCATTGTATGTGAATTTTTTCAAAAAACTAAGAACTGTAAACTAATATTCTCATTGATATGCACGCTAATAGGATTACTAGTGTCTTCAACTTACTTTGAAATGAATCAAAAAAATAAGATGAACTAATGGATAGTGGGATGGGCTGATAGATGGATATGTGTTAGAGCATATCTAAAACCACATTAATTATGGAATCTAGGTGGTAGGAATATAGGTATTCATTATGGAGTTCTTTCAAATTCTCTGTTTTCATTTTTTCCATATTAAAAGAGAGGAGGGGAAAAAGTCTAATGAAGAAATCAATATAACATTTTAGAGAAAACTTTGAGGAATTCTATCTAAATGCAAAGGTGTATTTATGTTCATGGTTTTGAGGATTCAATATTGTAAAGATGTAAGTTCTTTCTATACTAGTCATGTATTGCTGCATAACAATCAAAAAAATTGAGTGGCTTGAAACAGCAATCATTTATTTGCTCACAACTCTGTGGGTTAGCAATTTGGGCTGGCCCCACCTAGGCATTTCTTCTGGTCTCACCTGGTGCCACTCACACAACAGCAGTGAGTGTCTAAATGGTCTAAGATGGCCTCCTTGTGTTTGATGCTGACTGCTGACTGGACTTCTCTTTCTGTGTGATCTCTCCTCTCCAAAGAGCCAAGGGGCCAGATTACGGTGCTCGCACCTGTAATTCCAGAACTTGGGGAGGCTGTAGTGGAAGGATCGCTTGAGCTCAGAAGTTTGAGACCAGCCTAGGCAACATAGCAAAACTCTGTCTCTACAGTAAATACACAAATTACCTTGGTGTGGTGGCACAGGCCTATAGTTCCAGCTGCTGGAGATGCTGAGGTGGGAGGATCACTTGGGCCTGGGGTGTCAAGGCTGCAGTGAGCTGAGATCGCACCACTGCACACCAGCCTGAGTGAGTCAGCGAAACCCTGTCTCAAACACAAAACAAAAACACAAAGAGGCAAGACCACAGTTCTTTACATAATGATCTGATGGTTTCAAGAAGGTAAAAACAGAAGCAACAAGATCTCTTGAACCACTGAGTATAAAAGAAAAGATAGGTAAATTGAATTATATTACAGTTTAAAATTCCTGTTTACCAAAGAGAGACTATTAAGAAAGAAAAAAGGCAAGCTGTAGGATGGCAGAGATTTTTGTTACGTGTAACAAAGAAAGGACTTATATCTAAAATATATAAAGAACTCCAACAAATCAATAAGAAAAATCAAGGCAATCCACTAGGATAGGCAAAAAAAAGACAAAAACAAAAAACAAAAAACATGAACTGACACTTCAGAGAAGAGGCTATACAAATAGCCAATACATGTATTAAAAAGTGCTCAACTTTCTTAACACTAATCAAGGTAATGCTAATCAGAACCATATTAGATGAAATAATCAACCAAAAACAAAAACAAACTCCTGGGACTAATAATCAATTATACCCAAGGTTGTAGGATACAAGATTAATACACAAAAGTCAATTGCTTCCCTATTTACCAGCAATGAACACGTGGAATTGAAATTAAAAACACGATACTTAGGCAAAAACCTAACAAAATATATAGAAGAACTATATAAGGAAAACCCCAAAACTCTGATGAAAGAAATCAAGTAACTAAATAAAGGAGAAATATTCCATGTTCATGGGTAAGAAGATTCAATATCATCAAGATGTCAGTTTTTCCCAACTTGATCTAAAAATTCAATGCAATCCCAACCAAAACCCCAGAAAATTACTCTGGGGATATTGAGAAACTGGTTCTAAAGCTAATATGGAGAAGCAAAAGACACAGAATAGCAAACACAATATTGAAGAAGAAGAAAGAAGTTGGGGGACTGATATCAAGACTTAGTATAAAGCTATCGTGATCAAGACAGTGTGGTACTGGCAACAGACTTAAGAAATAGATCAGGCCGGGCGCGGTGGCTCACGCCTGTAATCCCAGCATTTTGAGAGGCCGAGGCCAAGACGGGCGGATCACAAGGTCAGGAGATCGAGACCATCCTGGCTAACATGGTGAAACCCCATCTCTACTAAAAACACAAAAATTAGCCGGGCACGGTGGCGGGCACCTGTAGTCCCAGCTACACAAGAGGCTGAAGCAGGAGAATGGCGTGAACCCGGGAGGCAGAGCTTGCAGTGAGTGGAGATCGCGCCACTGCACTCCAGCCTGGGGAACAGAGACTCTGTCTCAAAAAAAAAAGAAAAAGAAATAGATCAATGGGACAGAATAGAGAGCCCAGAACCAGACCCACATAAATACAGTCAACTGATCTTTGACAAAGAAGCAAAGATAACACAATGGAGAAAAAGATAGACTTCCACACATAGTGCTGGAACAACTGGACATCCACGCGCAAAAAATGAATTCAGATGCAACCTTACATCCTTCCCAAAAATTAGCTCAAAATGGATTATAAGCCTAATTGTAAGATGTAAAACTGTAAAACTCATAGAAGGTAACAGGAGAAATTTTAAATTTCCTTCAATTTGATAATGATGTTTTAGATACAACACCAAAGACACAATCTATGAAATAAGGAATTGATAAACTGTACCTCATAAATAGATTTTTTTTTTTTTTTTTTTTGGAGACGGAGTTTTGCTGTGTCACCTGGCTGGAGTGCAATGGCACCATCTTGGCTCACTGCAACCTCCACTTCCTGGGTTCAAGCAATTCTTGTGCCTCAGCCTCCTAAGTAGCTGGGACTATAGGCGTATGCCACCACACCCTGCTACTTCTTTGCATTTTAGTAGAGACAGGGTTTCGCCATGTTGCCCAGGCTGGTCTCAAACTCCTGAGCTCAGGCAATCTGTCTACCTTGGCCTCCCAAAGTGCTAGGATTATAGGCATAAGCCACCATGCCTGGCTTTGTAAACTGCACTTCATTAAGATTAAAATTATCTGCTCTGTAAGAGACACTGTCAAGAGAATGAAAAGACAAGACAAAGACTGGGAGAAAATATTTGCAAAAGACACTTCTGATAAAGAACTGTTACGTAATATACAAAAAGAACTATTAAAACTCCACAGTGCCAGTCATGGTGGCTTAGGCCTGTAATCCCAGCACTTTGGGAGGCCAAGATGGATGGATCACTTAAGGCCAGGAGTTCGAGACCAGCCTGGCCAACGTGGTGACCCTATCTCTACTAAAAATACAAAAATTACCGGTTATGGTGACACATGTCTGTAGTCCCAGCTACTCGGCAGGCTGAGGCAGGAGAACTGCTTGAACCTGGAAGACACAGGCTGCAGTGACAGTGAGCCAAGACTGCACTGCTGCACCCCAGCTTGGGTAACCAAGCAAGACTCTGTCTCAAAATAAATACATATAAATAACAAAATTCTACAGTGTGCTGGGCATGGTGGCTCACACCTGTAATCTCAGCACTTTGGGAGGCTAAGGTGGGCAGCTCGCCTGAGGTCAAGTGTTCAAATCCAGCCTGGTCAACATGGTGAAACCCCATCTCTCCTAAAAATACAAAAATTAGCCAGGCATGGTGGTGCATCCCTGTAGTCTCAGCTACTTGGGAGGCTGAGGCAGAAGAATCACTTGAACCTGGGAGGCGGAGGTTGCAGTGGCAGTGAGCTGAGATCGCACTACTGCATTCCAGCCTGGGTGACAGAGTTAGACTCCATCTCAAAACAGACAAACAAAAAACCCAACAGTAAGAAAACAAACAACTCGATTTTAAAATGAGCCAAAGACTTTAACAGACATCTCATCAAGGAAGATATACGGTTGGCAAACGAGCAAATGAAAAGATGCTCAACATCGTATGTCATCAATGAAATACTAATTAAAACAATGAGATAGCATTATACATGTATTGGAAGGACCAAAATCCAGAACACTGATACCACCAAATGCTGGTGGGGATGTAAAGCATCAAGAACTCGGATTCATTGCTGCCGGGAACGCAAAATGGTACAACCACTTTGGAAGACGATTTGGCAGTTTTTTAGAAAACTAAACATACTCTTACCACATGATACAGCAATTACACTTCTTGTTATTTACCCAAAAGAGCTGAAAACTTATGCCCACACAAAAACCTGCATGCTGATGTTTATAGCAGCTTTATCCATAACTGCCATAATTTGGAAGCAACGAAAATGTCCTTCAGTAGGTGAA